TTCTTCTTCTTCTTCTTCTTCTTCTTCTTCTTCTTCTTCTTCTTCTTCTTCTTTTTCTTCTTCTTCTTCTTCTTCTTCTTCTTCTTCTTCTTCTTCTTCTTCTTCTTCTTCTTCTTCTTCTTCTTCTTCTTCTTCTTCTTCTTCTTCTTCTTCTTACTGACATTAGTCTGCTTCTGATCAGTCATAGTATAATATGTCCGCTACGCTCTATATGTCACGTTCTATAATACTATTTTTAGGCCCTTCAAGCAGGTTGCTCTGTGGGTACTCCTGCCTCGTTTTCCTTGAAATTTTGCCAGGTTGAGCTGGACGTTCAAGGCCTTTATGTTTCAAGTGTTCCAGAAACTGCATTTTGTCTTTTCCTTATTGACATACAAGTACCTCTGCTTCTTATACCCCAACAGTGGGTGATTGGCGGGTGCTCTGGTGTGGTTTGCTCCTACTTTCCTATCAAACGACTATCGACTTTTTCTCTCCTCCTTCCTTTCTGTGTATGTTACTCTCTTGTAACACATCTATTTTTCGGCACTTATAATATGACCGTATTGTGTTGCAAGCAGGGGTGAAGGCTGACTTGTTTGACAGGGTAATCAAAGTGAAACGGGACCAGATATGGCCTGTAGATATCACACAATAATCTTACTCGAGGCGGCAACTCTGAGTTGTGAATGATAACAAATCCGGAATTCATATTGTACAATGTATGTTCAACCGCCAAAATAATCCGGAAAGTACCTTATTAAATATCAATTCCAACTAAAAGTAAATTTAACTTTAGATGTGAATACACAAACACAAAGCAAAGAAGCAGAGATGTCAGTATTAGATAAATATGTTATAGATCTACCAGTGAGTCTAACTCTTTGGTAGAACATGACAATTATCATTTTTTAAATTTCACATTTGGCTGTTTTTGTCTAGCCTTTCGCGGCCAGGAGCTGGTGTCATAATCGAGGTCACGATCTGATTATAGGACGGTAAAAAGTCGAAGAAAAAAAACAAGCACTTGCAGCAGTCAAGAGATTATTAGGAGTTAGTTCCCCTCATATTTGTGAGGTGTTAGTAAGCTTACATAATCAGGGCTTGTGATTGATTATAACTGTGGCCGCAAAGGGGTGAACAGGGTATAGGTGGCAATGAAACAGTTTTGACTGCTATGCACATGTTCCCTTCACCTCTATTGGTAGACTCTTCCAGCCTCACTTTAAGCTTACTTAATCAAAGCTTGCGACTGCTTATGGAGTGGCCCGATAGGGGTGAGCAGGCTATTTCTGTGGCCGTGAAATCGTTTTTAATGTCAGGCATACAATGACAATGACAATGACAATCTTTATTCATCTCGCAGGGAGAAATTTGTCTTGGTCGTTAACAATGGCAGTAGACGTTACAAAGGTTAGACTTAAAGGTGCACTCACGCAAACGCACAACAAGACAGGACATTTTGCCAAGTAAATACATGTCTCACGGGCTGGGACAACCCGCTCCGTAACACATTCATTCTCTCTCTCTCTCTCTCTCTCTCTCTCTCTCTCTCTCTCTCTCTCTCTCTGTTTCATTTGTAGCACTGTGTGTTCAGTAACCTCAGTGCAGTTGCTACGAATGAATTTCTATATCTGTTCATTGTTGATTATGAACGTCATTTTACATTTAATTTATGAGGTTTACGTTTATGGGTGAATTTGACAGAAACAATGTTTTAAAATTAGGAAGGGAAGCAGTGATTATTTGATTATATAGACGCTTTGCCACTGGTTGCAAGTGCCGTAAAACTCTTACTAAAACTAAACTATACCCCAACAGGCCGAGAGACGAGTGGGCGGACCAGTACCGCAGTGACATATTCCTCCAGCGAATGATACAGGCCGGCAAACAAGTGGAAAGCAAGCACAACTGCTTCATTTGTGAGAGCAGTAGAGGGGCCGGTAAGTTGTCCACATTTCTGATCTTTCAATCTTAGTACTTCATCCTTCCACACACCTGTCGTCCCCCCCCCCCCCTCCCGAGTTGGAAAACAAAAACAGCAACAAAAGAACGCTTCCCTTGTAATGTGTGAAACAAAGCTCGTTGTCCTTGGGGGTGGTGGGGGGGGGGGGGTTATAGTTTTGTATTACGATACGAAGCTGATAACTTATTCTTTCTGAAAGTAAACCCTTTCCTTTTCCTTAATGCAAGCCTGGGGAAGGGCTTTCAATAATACCATTAAAAAAAACTGCCTGTCACTGTAACACCCGACTCGTTTCCTCTTGGTCCCACTTC